AGTGGGGTTTCCTCTCACCTGGGAAACACAAATGCTGGTGTTTTAAGGCCCAGATTTCAGTCTGTTGGTTGCTCTGCAGTTACTGTTGTCCGGTTCATCAGACAGTGTCCTCTCAGTCCCGCCATCTTGGATCCCCCCAAATCCACTTTTTTTTTTCATCAGAAATTACTTATACCATATCACCTGTGTCACAATAAGTAAATAAGTTTCTCTTATAATACCAAATGAAGATTCTGAAAACATTATATAACAGTCTCTAAATCTGGAATCTCCATCTCACATTGCATACAGTTTCATTTCATTGAGTTAGACCAGATGGAAATGCAACACATTTCTAAAAGTGGGTACCTTAACTATTTCTAGATATTTATAACGAGAAACATGCCATGGATATTCTGCTAATGCTTGGGTATTGGACAATTTTACCTACTTGGATTAAACTACTCTAAAACAACATGTGGTCAATTATCTTTAGTTTTATCTTAAATTATTTAAAGATAAGGTCTCACTTTATAGTCCAGCATGGCCTTGAACTTGTGCTACTTGTTTCAGCCTCCCAAGTGCTAGAATTAAGAGCATGTATCACTATGCCTGGTTCTCAACTTTTAAAACCAGACAGTGATATAGAATTGCTAACACCATTTTAACTTGGGTGGAGGTTAAGAAGGTATTAGGTACCAAAAAATCTAAGTAGTGTCATGGAATAATAAAAAAAAAAAAGCATGTTATAGATTTTTCACCTATGTACTCAATGCCACGGGCAAAAATATGTTCATGTGCAAAGCAAATCAATATATGTAATCCTTTCAGCTCTCAAAGTCTACCATCCTAAGGTTTGTCTATATATACAAACACATAAGTGTTCATGCATACAAAAGCCAATGGTTATACAATGTTCAATATTTAGAAGTAACTGCTAGATATTATGATCCAGTCCATTTGTACACACATTTCATAGATGATGTCTCAGACAATTTTCCCTAATGATATGTGGTGAAAGTGTTGGTAGTAGTAGAATTTAAAACTTATTTCAGCTTAAGTATAACCTTTGATAAACAGTTGACATACATTTGTTCATTTCGTCATCTTAAGACTACAATGGTAATATTCTTAACTATTTCACAGAAGACAATGATGAGGCACAGAAAAATGGAGTGACTGCCTTACTGGACAGATAGAATTCAAAATAAGAGTTTCAACTGTAATTCAAGAAAATATAAGGAGAAAAACATTGGCCTAAGAATCTTATTTCTATCTAAGTGTAGTAAGAGGGATCAGATTTATCTTCCATCCTAAAACAAATAAAACTCTAGAAAACATTTCTTTCAGACATTAGACAAGCTGTACAAAACTGTAATTCCTACGAAAAGGCAAGGCAAATTATTGTTTCAGTTTATGGCATGAAAGCAGTTTTCAAGCAACAGGCAATAAGGAACTCAAATAGAAAACCAATGGTTGCAGTGGAATTGAAGAAACAGGCTGGCATTCCGATTGGTAAATAGGTTTTAAAATTGTGAATGAGAGAGCTACAGGATAAGAACAAAAACTCCAGTGATGTGTTGGGGCTAGGATTCTCTATGATCATTCAGTCTATTATATGCATGATCAGGAGCTACCCAAAGCTGAGAAAAAGGACTTACAGGGAAAAAAAGAAAGAAAAAGAAAGAAGAAAGAGAAAAAGAAAGGAAGAAAGAAAGAAAGAAAGAAAGAAAGAAAGAAAGAAAGAAAGAAAGAAAGAAAGAAGAAAGACTGTAAAGGATACTATCATACAGCACTGGACTCTCTCAACCCAGGGAAACAACCACAATTAGTGAAAAAAAAAGCAATAATCATTAAAAGCAACATAAATTCAGGGGCCAGGAAAATGGCAAAGTTAGTAAGAATAAGCATAAAGAAGGTAAAAAAGTGGGAAACAGTAAGATCTGGAGAGGACAGGAACTCCACAAGCAGAGCAACAGAAGCAAAAACTCTGAGCACAGGGGTCTTTCCAGAGATTCATACTCCAACCAAGGACCATGCATGGAGATAACCTAAAACCCCTGAACAGATGTAGCCCATGGCAGCTCAGTATCCAAGTGGGTTCCATTGTAATAGGAACAGGGACTGTCTCTGACATGAACTGATTGGCCTGCTCTTTAATTATCTCCCCCTGAGGGGGAAGCAGCCTTACCAGGCCACAGAGGAAGACAATGCAGCCACTCCTGATGAGACTTAATTGACTAGGATCAGAAGGAAGGAAAAGAAGTCCTCCCCTATCAGTGGACTTGGGGAGGGTCATGCATGCAGAGGGTGGAGGAAGGGAGAGATTGGGACTGGAGGAGAGAAGGAACCACAGGGGGGGGAAACGAACAGAATAAAGTGTAATTGAGGAGCAGTACTGTTAGGCTACAGAGGAGGACTTTGCAGCCAGCCCTAAAGATACCTGATAAAACAGGGTCAAATGAAAGGGGAGGAGGTCCTCCCCTATCAGTGGACTTGGAAAGGGGCAGGGAGGAGACCAGGGAGGGAGTGTGGGGTTGGGGAGGGAATGAGGGAGCGGGGTACAGCTGGGACACAGAGTTAACAAAATGTAACTAAAAAGAAAAATAAAATTTAAAAAAAAATTAAATAAATAAATAAAGTTTAAGCAAGAGGACCCAAGTACCAATCTTCAGTACACATGGCCATGTGTACCTGTAATCCTAGTTCTGAGAAATAGAAGACAGACAGCTCCTGGAAGTTTACTAGTTAGCCAGCATAACCAAATGGAAGCTTCAAGTTAACTAAGAGATTCTACCTCAAAAAAATAAAGTAAAGACTGTCCTCATTTGCTTTCCATTCCCGTTATTAACACCAATAGGCTCCTTCCAAGTCAGGGGCTACTTTTAAGTGAAGGGTTTGCTTTAGCTCGCAGCTTAGAGTCTAACAGTAAGGGAAGTCAGGCCAAGAACTCAAGCAGGACAGAAACACAAGCAGGGTAGGAACCTGGAGGCAAGAATGTAAATAGGCCATGGAGGCACTGCTTACTGGTTTTCTCTCCACAGATAGTTCAGCTTGCTTTCTGATACCACTCAAAACTATCCACCCAAGGATGGCACCACCTACAGGGGAAGGGCCCTCCCACATCAATCATTAATTTAAAAAATGGCCCACAGACTTGCCTACAGACAATCTGATGGAGGAATTTATTTTTCAACTGAATTTCTCTCTTCCCAGGTAATAGCTGCGTCAAGTTGACAAAAAAACTGAACAACATAAAGGATTAAAGTGAAAGAAATCTAATGTCCTTCCCTTGCTTCCATGTACATGACCAGTATAACCACACACACATATAAAACAGACACACAAACAAACACACACACACACACACACACACACATTTACAACAGTGCCATGAAATCAATCCAAGAACATTTTTGTATTATATATAACTTTTTTTTTGAAGTTTTAAAATGTTTATTTTCAAGAACCAAAAAATTTGGGAATCCATTGTAAAACTATAAGCAAAGACTGATGTCCACATTTCTTTCTATTTCAGGACTGTGTTTGCAGATTTTTTATAAAAGCATTTTCATTCTTTAGTCGACATTTTAAAAGCATCTTATTTTTTATTTTTTATTAATTAAAGTTTATTCACTTTGTATCCCCCCATAAGCCCCTCCCTCCTCCCCTCCCAGCCCCACCCTTCCTCCCCCTTCTTCTCCCTTGCCTTTCCCAAGTCCACTGATAGGGGAGGTCCTCCTCTCCTTCCTTCTGATCTTAGTCTATCAGATCCCATCAGGAATGACTGCATTGTCATCTTCTGTGGTCTGTAAGCACTGCTCTCCCCTCAGGGGGAAGTGATCAAAGAACAGGCCTATCAGATTATGTCAGAGGCAGTCCCTCTTCCCTCAGACAACTAGGAATAGCACTTCCTCAAGATCCGGCCATACCACTCCTAGGCATATATCCAAAAGGGGCTCAAGTACACAATAAAGACATTTGCTCAACCATGTTTGTAGCAGCTTTATTTGTAATAGCCAGAAGTTGGAAACAGCCCAGAGTCCCCTCAACTGAAAAATGGATGCAGAAATTGTGGTACATCTACACAATGGAGTATTACTCTGCAATGAAAAATAAGGAAATCATGAAATTTGCAGGTAAATAGTGGGACTTGGAAAGGATCATCCTGAGTGAGCTGTCCCAGAAGCAGAAAGACACACATGGTATATACTCACTCATATAGACATATAACATAGGATAAACCTACTAAAACCCTGAACATCTAAAGAAACTAATCAAGAGAGCGGACCCTGACTAAAACGTTCAATCCTCATCCGGAAAGGCAAAGAGAATAGCCATCAGAAGAAGAAGAAAACAGGAAACAACCTAGGAACCTGCCACAGAGGGCCTCTGAAAGACTCTGCCCTGCAGACTATCAAAGCAGATGCTGAGACTTAAGGCCAACTGATGGGCAAAGTGCATGGAATCTTAAGTAAGAAGTGGGAAATAGTAAGATCTGGAGAGGACAGGAACCCCACAAGGAGAGCAACAGAACCAGAAAATTTGAACACAGGGGTCTCCCCAGGGACTCATATTCCAACCAAGGAATATGCATGGAGATAACCTAGAACCCCTGCACAGATGTAGTCCATGACAGCATGGTATCCAAGTGGGTTCTACAACTTTCTTTTTAATTTTTTTTTATTTTTATAACTTTTCATATGAAATGCACTTAAGACACTATTATCTCCTAGATTTCATCCTACTTCTTCAATTTACTATGACAAAAAACTACCCTAGACAATTAAAAACAGGAACATAGGCCTACTCTCGCTCCAGTTTTCTGTATCTAGAAACCTGGTGATATGTGACACAGGGTAGAATGCTGAAAGTTCGTACTTAGCCCAACCCTGAGTTTCAGAAAATGTAATCCAGGTAGGCATGGGTACAAGGTCTGATATGTCCTTTTACTGATCTACCTAAAAGCTCTGCCTAAAACGGTTGTTCAAGATTTTGGAATCTCACTCTTTTCTCTTCAACGAGGCAGCAAAGCAGGCACCAACATGCAGATCTTTGTAAAAACCCTGACAGGCAAGACCATCACTCTTGAAAGGTCGAGCCCAGTGACACACCATCAAGAATGTCAAGGCCAAGATCCAAGACAAGGAAGGCATCCCACCTGACCAGAAGAGGCTGATATTCGCTGGCAAGAAGCTGGAGGATGGCCACATTTTGTCTGACTACAACATCAAGAAAGAGTCCACTCTGTACATGGTGCTGAGCCTGCAAGGCAACATCATTGAACCATCGCTCCTTCAGCTCACCCAGAAGTGCAAATGTGAGATGATCTGCCTCAAGTGCTACACATGCCTACACCATGGTTCTGTCAACTACCATAAGAAGAAGTGCAGCCACACCAACAACCTGTGCCCCAAGGAGAAGTTTAAATAAAGCTGGGCCAAATGTACCCATGACAGCAGGGCCAAATAAAGTCTCCTCCCATTGACTGGAAAATAAAATAAATTTTGGGTCTCAAAATCCCTCACCTCCACTCACTCATAAAGAGAGTTACAATGCCAAGAAGGAAAACCAATGAATTCAGAAGATGGCACTCCCACCAACAAAGTGTAACTATGAGAAAAATCAGGCAACTTTGAAGAATGAAAGAGAAATTTTTCCATGGGGACATAATGGCCATAAGAAGAGAGGACTCTGTTTAATTCTGCCCTAGGTGACTGATTTTTTCTTAGAAAAGAGCATGAGAAGGAAGTTTGGGCTCGAGCACAATAAATATTTTAGTGGTGAGTACTGAAAGAATGGCAAGTACATGAAAGCAACACACTATTCATCAATTAGACACAATGCAAAACCATAGTAAGGTACATTTAAAAGAGGCCTCCTCATCTGAAAGACTCTACCTAGCAGTGTTTCAAAGCAGACACTAAGACTCATAACCAAACCCTCGGCAGAGTGCAGGGAATCATATGAAAGAAGGGAAGTTAGTATGATATGGAAAGGATAGGAGCTCTACAAGGACCAAATATATCTGGGCACAGGGTCTTTTCTGAGACTGACACTCAACCAAGGACCATCTATGGATATAACCTAGAACTTCTGCTCGGATGTGGCCCGTGGTAGCTCAGTAACCAACCAAGTAGTTTTCCAAAGTAAGGGGAACACGGACTATTTCTAACAGGATCTCAATGGCAGGCTGTTTGACACCCCCCCCCCCCAGGGGAGGAGCAGTCTGTTAGGCCACAGAGGAGGACTTTGCAGCCAGCCCTGAAGATACCTGATAAAACAGGGTCAAATGAAAGGGGAGGAGGTCCTCCCCTATCAGTGGACTTGGAAAGGAGCAAGGAGGAGACCAGGGAGGGAGTGTGGGGTTGGGGAGGGAATGAGGGAGCGGGATACAGCTGGGACACAGAGTTAACAAAATGTAACTTTTTATTTCCCAAAATAAAAAGAAAAATAAAATTAAAAAAAAATTGTTTCAGTATATATATATATATAAAAAAAAAGAGGCCTCCTTGGGTTAAACAAAACCTCAAAGATTTGTCTTAAAAGTACTGATACAAAAAAAGTATTATAGCACACATCTGCAATCCCAGCATTCAGAAGGCTGTAGCAGGAGAATCACATGTTTGAAGTCAGGTTGGACTACACAGTAAAACTTTCAGTAAACAAAAGAACAAAAACACGAAAGGCTAGGCTACCAAATAAAATATCTAGAATGTAATTAGATCAGTATTTCCCAGGACATTATAAAAACACAATAGAAATAAACAGTTGATAATTGCTGTTGGCAAAGAGCTATATATGTGGTATCAGAGAGACAAACAGACCATAGAAAGACATAGTAAAACACAATCCTTCTAAAATCATTGACATTCCAAGGTAATTATGCACATGTCAAATTTTTGTACATGCAAGGAAATGAACTTCACAGAACTAATAATACATTTAAGTCACCAAACAGATAATAAAAATAAAATTTAGATTAAAGGATGGACCTTTATTAATAGTATGCAATAAATAGATAGTAGTATTATATATCTAAAATATCCATGTTCATTTTTCTGGTGCTAGGGAGAGAATCAAGGGCCTTGTATATGGTATGCAAGTAGTCTATCACTGAGCTACATCTCCAGCCCCAAAAGATATCTACAGGAATAGATGAAGTTTTTAGTGAATGTGTGTTGATAACATGTCAAGGACTCAAACACTTCAAACCATAGAAATTGAAAGGCCTTCTCCTGGTTAAATCAGGATGTCAACTCCATGTTCCTTCAGTATCAACCACAATTTCCTCCCCCTAGAGGACTGTAGCAGGAAACTACTTCTCCACCAAGATCACCTATGAAGATTAGATCCACACCCTCTCCTACTGCTCCATCTGTATATAATAAACCCACCTCTTTGTTCTATTGTACATAATAAACCTGTCTCCTCTTTTTGCTGTATGTAATAAACATGCTGAGTTTCTTGGCTGGTGATGCATCTTCATCACAGCATAGGGCCTACCTGATCTCAGCTTTACTACGTCTGTGTTGTTTTTTCCCTCTCTGTCAACCTAGTCAGGTCAATTACAAGGCCAGGCAGGTCTTATCAGATATACCACTAATTAATAAAGTATGGCTCATAAACTTTTAAAACAGTAGACAAGAAAAAAAATTAAAACTAAAGACAAGAAGGGGCTGGAGAGATGGCTCAGAGGTTAAAAGCATGGGCTGATTTTCCAGAGGTCCTGAGTTCAATTCCCAGCAACCACGTGGTAGGTCACAACCATCTATAATGAAATCTGGTGCCCTCTTATGGCATGCAGGCAGAACTCTGTACATGTAATATATAAATAAAAAGTGGACAAGAAAAATTATCTTTGAAAAGGCACAAATTTTGGACTTAGCAAAATATGTAAAGAAAATGTAAACATGTTTTAAAAAGCTAAAAAAAGTAGCTGCACAGTGATGATACATTCCTTTAATCCTAGCACTCAGGAGGCAGAGGCTGTGAATTCAAAGCTAGCCTGGTCTATAGAGTGAATTCCAGGACAACCAGGGCTCCACACAGAGAAATCCTGTCTTGAAACAAAACAACAAAAATAAGAGATTTTTAAAAAGCTAAAGGAAACAATGGTTAAAATAGTAAAGAAAGCTACTGTAATATGTCTCTTTAAACAAATAACATAAATATAGATAGAAATTATATTAATATATAATTACTGAATATATACATATAATTCATTTTTTAAAATAGAGAACAAGGGAATCTCAACAGGAGATGATAGACAGAATAAATAATTAGCAAACATGGAAGATCAGCAGATTAAGCAACTGAAAAAAACAGTGAATAAAAAGAAAATAGAGTCTCAGAAAAATCCAGGACTCCATTAAGCAAATCAACATTTAAATGAAAGACTACCAAAAGGAGAGGAAAGAAAAAGAAAAATTAGAAAAAACAAATGAATAGAAAATTCCCAGATTTAGAAAATGAAACTGACGGGCAGAGTGAATGGAATTTTATGTAAGAAGTGGGAAATAGTAAGAGCTGGAGGGGACGGGAACTCCACAAGGAGAGCAACAGAACAAGATCATTTGAACACAGGGAACTTCCCAGAGACTCATACTCCAACCAAGGACTATTCATGGAGATAACCTAGAACCCTGACAATGCAGCCATTTCTGATGAGAACTGATAGACTAACATCAGAAAGAAGGAGAGGAGGACCTCCCCTATCAGTGGACTTGGGGAGGGGCATGCATGCAGAAAGGGGAGGGAGGGTGGGATCGGGAGGAGAGGAGGGAGGGGCTTATGGGGGGATACAAAATGAATAAAGTGTAATTAATAAAAGTTTACAAAAAAAGAAAATCAAACCAAACCAAAACAAAAAAAAAAAAAATCTTAAACATGAGAATCCTGAAAACAACAACAACAAAAAGTCAAGTAAGATAATGACAATAGGATCCACAACAAGGCTTATAACAACAAAACTATTGTTGAAAGAAAAAATTTAAATCATGAATGTGGCCAGAGAAAACCAATCCATCATATACAGAAGAACCAGTTAAATTTAATCTGACTTCCTATTAGAGACTATAGAGGACAAAAGGCAGTAGGATGCAATTTTAAAGAAAAACAAATACACAAAAAGAGGTCAACCAAGAGGTCTCTCTTCAGAAAAACAAATCATTCAAAAAATTACAATGAAATAGTCATATCCAGATAAACAAAGAAAAACATGTTACTACCATACCTGTCTAACAAGAAATACTAAAGAATCTTGAAATCAGTATCACACACTGCAATCTAAGGGCAAGGTCTAGACCAATCTGGGCCAGGTAGTGAGACCCTATAAGGGAAGAGAGAGAGAGAGAGAGAGAGAGAGAGAGAGGGAGAAATTCTGAAGGAAAGTTACTTTTGTTGGTAATTAGATTTTACACAAAGAGCAAAGTACTTGTAAAGGTAACTACATAATTATTAACTACTGTAAAATATATACCTTTCTACTTTATTTTTTGAACATATTGATTTAATTGCATGAAGCTATAGGTTTATAATTGGATTACTATATGTGTAATACATGGAAATATAGTAATTTGGCAATAATTGGCACCAAGAAGACAAGAAAATGGCAAGAGATGTTAATTTGAATTTAAAGGGAAAACATGAAAAGAACTAGAAATTCAATAGAAACACTAAAATAATAAACCCTATGAATATGATTTTGTTCTCCTTAAATCTGTCAGCTACTTTAAATATGCCATTCAGAGAACTAGGAATATAACTCAGTGGTAGAACACTCGCCTAGCAAGTGTAAAGACATGGGTTTTATACTAGTGCTGCAAAAAAATAAATATCTAAATTAATAAATAAAATGTCATATAAGGTAGTAAATATAACAATATTTTATTGGATTTGTCATAATCAGGAATATTTATCAAATACACACAAAGGGAAGAGATGACTATATGTATCAGCAAACTGTCACTGAAATTTAATCAGTAAAATATAAAAGCTGTTATGACAAATTATAATCTATACATATCAGCAATGCTGAAGAATAGAAAACAAAAGTGATTCAAATTAAATTACATCAAGATAGGAAACTAAAAATAAAATAGAGCACTGGACTCATACAAGAAAACAAAGACAAAAATATGTTTAAAGTAAAAAAAAAAGGCCAAAATTTTGCCAGTTGTCTGAAATAATAAATAAATAATAATAAAATCAACACACATTAAGCAACATAATTACAAACAAAACCAGTAATAAAAAGAAAATGCTAATGATACCTAAATTTAAAGACACAGCGGAAAAAAGTTTAAGAATTAATTACAGACATAACATTAAACTATGAGATTCAAAAGAAAGTGCAGTGATGTTTTTAAGTGATTAAACGGAAATCTATAAACCAAGTTTTTTTTTATTTTTAGTTTTTATTTTTTCACAAT